GCTTTATCCAGAAACAGAACAAATATTATAGCCATATTGATTCCTTATAACGGGCCTACTTTTCGTAATACTTTTGTGGGTGAATTGCTGTCTGGCATTCAGTCAATATTATACAGTAAAGGCTATTCCATGTTGTTCTTGCCTACACAAGGTTTGAATTCTAGAGATATGGTGAAGAATCAACTGGATCAGGGGTTGGGGTACGATGGTTACATACTTTTTGGAACAAGGTTTTGCTCTTTGGATGACATGAAACACAATGCAAATCAGCTTTTAGATGCTGGTTTGCCATTTATGGTTGTAAATATGCCTGAAATCGACCTTGATATAAATCAAGTATTCGATATAGATCCACCTGAGACTGATGCGATTAGTTATCTTATAAGACTTGGTCACAAGAGGATAGTATTTATTGCAGGACGTGAAGAACATTCTGAAAGTGTTCAGGCACTTGAGACTTTCAATAACTTGATGAAAAAAGCTGGTCTGGAAGTAAAGATAAATGATGTCTTGTACGGTGATTATGAGAAGGATGTTACCCGAAGTATTTTTGCCCAACGTCTGGAAGAAGGCATAAATTTTACAGCGGTTTATGCCCAATCTGACACTATGGCGTCTGGTGTATATGAAGCAATAAATGATGCCGGTTTAAGAATACCTGAAGATATCTCTGTTGTTGGCAGGAATGATTCGTTTTTTGCCCACATGTTGAACCCACCACTGACAACTGTGTGTCGTCCCATATTCAATATGGGAGTTAGAGCTGCTGAAGGACTATTGCGAACAATAAGAGGAGCGGAAGATAAGAGAAAGATTATTCTTAAATCTATTATGGTGCAGCGTTCATCTTCTGCCCCACTACAAATGAAATAAAATTACCCTTTTAGGGTAAAATGGAGGTTTTTATGAAAAAAGTAATTATCAGGCATTCAATACTGCTGATATTTTTAATCGGATTTGCCGTAGCAGTTAGTGCTAGAGGTTCATCGGGTAGCGATAAAACCGGTGATAAAAAATTAACATTTACGACTTGGCAATTAATTGATGGAGATTTGGTTTCATGGTGGGATGGAGTTATAACAGAGTTCCAGGAAACACATCCAGGAGTCAAGGTGCAGGTTACTGACTTGTCCAGGGATACATATGCAGAAACCCTTTTGTCTCAGTTTGTTGCTGGGTCACCTCCAGACATCACTCATTTGGCTTCGTTTGAGTTTGCTGCTTTTTCCCAGCGGGATATGTTGCAGGAACTAGATTCTTATGCTCAACGTGATGGTATTGATATTAATGAGTGGGCTGGTCAGAGAGTCCTTCAAGTAGATGGGACAAACTATGGAATCATGCTGTTGTATTTCGGGTTCAATCTTTATTATAACGAAGCATTGCTAAATGATGCTGGTGTTGATGTTCCGACTACTTGGAATGAGTATTTGGAAGCAAGTCGAGCACTTACAGTAGACAAAGATAAAGATGGAATCATTGATCAGTATGGTGCTGGATTCCAAACTGCACCTGGACCAGGTCAGTATATTACAGGATTGTTGAATTTTGTACTTGACTCAGGGGCTTACTGGACAGACTCAAGTGGGAAAGTAACCATAGATACACCCCAAATGGCTGAAGCTTTTGGAAAATGGAAAACACTGTTGAGAGAGAATCTTACCCCACGAGGAATGAAAATAAATGATGTTCGTCAATTATTCAACGAAGGGAAAGTTGCCATGATAATTGAAGGACCCTGGATGTGGGGTGTCTCAAGGAATGCTGCACCGGATGTTTTATCAAATATAAAAGTGGCTGCTTCACCAATGTCTCCACCTGTTGGAGGATCCAGTAATGGTCTTGGAATTCCCAAGTCCCTCTCAGATGAAGATAAACAGCTGGTCTGGGAGTTTATAAAATTGGCTACTTCTTCGAAATGGCAGACCAAGTATATTGAAGCAGGACAAACCACAGCTAGACCTAATACTCCTATTACTGATAAAGCAAGAAATGATGTACCGCCAATTGACTTAATTTTTGCAGCCAAAGATGCGGCTGCTCTAGAAGGAGTTGACAGGCTTCCTACTGGGTTAGAACCAATTTATAACGATTTTGCTCGTATTGTACAGGATGAAGCAGAAAGGATGATCCAGGACAATCTTGACCCTGCCGATGTTGTGAAGAACATACAGGCTCAGGTAGAAAAACTTCAGAAAGACAATATGTGATTTTCTAATCCATGCCACATTTATTACATTGTGGCATGGTTATTCCGTAACACAGGTGATTCAATGAGTACCATAGAAAAAAAAGGTCGGGTAAATGCATATTTATATTTAATTCCGATTATGTTATTTGCATTGATATTACTGGTTTATCCCATTTTGTCTTCCATAATGCTTAGTTTTCAGGACATAAAAATTCCTGCTGGAGGAATTCAATTAAAAGCAAACAGTTTCAGAAATTATACTCGGATGTTTTCGGATCAGAAGTTTTACCAGTCACTTCTCAATACAGGAATCATAGTCACTGTTTCCACTGGTTTATGTATGGTTGTTGGTATCGGAATAGCTGTTTTAGTAAATAAGATAGCTTCTTTGGGAATCCTTGCGATACTTCCCTGGGCAATTCCATCT